TGCTAATTTGTCCTCTTATGCTGTGAATGAAGCTTGCTAACATATTGTCTGTGTTGCTTTACTTACCCATATTTTTACCTTCTTAAAAACCAACAAATTAAAAAAACAACAACAACAAAACAAACAAAGACGTCTAAATTTCCAGTTATAGCATCATAATTCAGATTTGGAGTTAGCTAACTCAGTGAGTTAAAGACACGCCTTGAGCCTTAAATGTGGACAAGCTTTTCAAGATTTTTCAGCTACATTTCTGGTCTCATGAAACATTCGTGTTGATTTTGTCCGAGCCGACATGATGCAATAACAGAATCCTGACCCACGCTCTGATGTTGTTTTTGCCAAGTGGTTGTTATTCTCTGATATCAGTGCACTGGACAGCGATCAATGTTGTGATGTCATCATAGAGAGTCCTGCTGATTTATGTTATTTGCTTATTTTACTTATTTATTCTCAAGCCTCTCCTTATTGGTTAGATTTTGCAGTGTGATTTAATAACATTGTATTCTCTGCAAATGAAAATGGCCATTATTGAAAAAAATCAATAATAGTCTAAAATCAAAATATTAATCTTGTGGATTAGAATAGTTGAAGAAAATATCAGTTTAAATGTCAAAACAATAAATTCTTCTTGAGGTAGACACTGATATGATGAATTGAGGACTATTATATATAATGTATAATATTATATTACAAAGAATAACAGAATAAGGAAGGTTAAGATGTATTTGACAAGTGGAGGCCTTTACAAATTTCCCAAAAGTGCCCCAAACATCCCAAACTCAAGCACAGCGGCAGACAAAGCGATACTTAATCTTCATCAGTGTCAGAACTGAATTTTAAGCCCAGCTCTCACTGTTGTTGCTACTTGCAGTATTTTCAGTGAATTTGTTGAATGTAAGATCATTGCTGGTATTTAGAATTTAAACATGAAAATAAAATAAATTTATTTTGAGTAAAATGTTATCTGTGATAAAAGTAGAGATAAAAACACATTTTTGGCTTAGCTGTAACTTTTTAGCTAGGCAGGTTATAAATATTAGTATAGAATGAAATGATAAGTAGAGACACTCATCAGCTACACTCAACTATGGAAGCCTATGCTTCTCAGTGAATAAAATTATTTTCTATTGATGTATTTTAATATAACAGTGGTTAGCGCTGTTGCCTCACAGCAAGAAGGTCCTGAGTTTAATTCCACCATCACGCCGGTGTCTTTCTGTGTGGAGTTTGCATGTTCTCCCTGTGTTTGCGTGGGTTCCCTCCCGGTTCTCTGGCTTCCTCCCACCATCCAAAGACATGCAGTTAGTGGGGCAGGTTAATTGGAAACTCTAAATTACCCACAGGTGTGAATGCGGGAGTGAATGTGAGTGTGAATGGTCGTCTGTGTCTATGTGTTGGCCCTGTGACAGACTGGCAACCTGTCCGGGTGTACCCTGCCTCTCACCATGAGACAGCTGGGGTGGGCTCCAGCCCCCCCGCAACCTTGATACAGGATAAGCGGAAGTGAATGGATGGATCGATGGGAATATTAGTTTTAAGGCAGCAACTACTGGTGTACTTATTGTCTGACACATTTGAGTGTTGTTAGTCCTCAGTCACTAATCTGTCTCTCATTGTTTGCTTTCTTATCATTCTTCATCACAGAAAGGGCTAGATGAGGAGTGAAACTCACAGACGGCCACCTAAGACCTTTGGGATCTTCTCTATTGGTTCTCCTTTGTCTCCAAAGTAACTGTAGAATAAAGCAAAGTGCATTCAAATTAATGTGTGCTTATTCATTTTTAAGTAGCACCACATAAAGTTGTCAATAATAACATATAAAACTTACATTTCACGTGTTCATCACTGACAAAATACCAATGTTTTTGAAGGTATAAAAATTATATAAAGTACCAAAAGAATTTAAGGACAAACTGATATTAAGTGTAAGGTGTTACCACATTAACAATATGTGAAGCTAATCAGTTTACTAATCACTATATATTCTACACAGGATCATGTTTGGGGTGTGATGTTAGGTGGGTAACTTCTGCCACCTTGTGTCGAATTCTGTGCTGTTTTCTGATATTCACTCACAGTTGCAGCCGCAAATCTGCAAAGTTTTATTAACTGTTAGTCTGAAAATATTTTCCACCCTATTTACAATCATTTCATACAGCATATGCCACAGAAATAGATTTCTGCAAATGCAGATTTCATTCTGCGTGAAGCCTTTAAAACTCAATCCAGAAAGTTTTTGAGATTTATCGAGCTGCAGTAATCAAAGTAGACAAAAATATGTTTAGGAAAAAAATAGAAAAGCTATAATGAGAGTCTGTATTCAGCTTAAATTTACTTGCAATGGTCTAAAAAATGTTGTTGTTTTTTTATAATAAATCTGAGGGAAGAATAATGGTAATTTTATGGTTGCTAAACAGAATGAAGCCTAAACATTATTTCCCCAATAAAGTGTAATTTTCAAAGTAAAAGTGCTTGTATGTCTCTTACTCAGTCTGGTCCCATACCACTGATCCTGATGTCTTAAAATTAGCTGCAAAGCTTTTTTAGTGAAGAGACTTCATAATGTGACACTTGTTCAATGAAATAACTGTAACGTGATGAGTTCTTTGCCATCAGCACAATACCACTTGTTATCTTATGCTACTATATACACAAGGACCATTGGTGAGTATGGAGGCAGTGCTAGAAATAGTTACTTTCACTAAGTAAAAGGAGAGAGAAAAAAAATACTCTCAGTTTAAAATACTCCAACAATGTGACTGAATAGCAGAAAACGATTGAATAAATATGATTAAAATCTTCCCTAAAACCAGAGGAGGACAGTATTAGAATTCAAGAGTAAATTATTTACTATATTTATGATGTGCATTTTTAACTTTATATCTCTGTGTGTGTTTTTTGTAACACATTATAATCTGGTCAAATATAAAAACAGTGTAATTAGTTGAGTATAATTGTTGTAACATAATATCCTGATGATTTAGACCAGGCTGTAACTAAACAACATTGGTTAAAGAAGCCTCGTGTCTAATGCACTAAACAACTGTCAAATATCTCAGGTTTGCTTACAATCTCTCACTGTGATATACGGATGTTTTAACGCTGTAAAACAAAACAACTAATAAGAATTATTCTTTAAAAGACATCATCAATTTTCACTGTGCTACTTTCAGAGAAAATATATCACATTAAATCCAAATATAGATGGAAATAAACCATATAAACACACACAAAAAAGAAATTAGAGTATGTCAATAAATAAGAGCACATTTTACAGCAAATGTATTCCTATTTGAATCTTTGACAGGCTTACCGTTCATTATGCTTCTGCAGCAGGACAGTAGAGACTGAAGCACACCTTCTTGTGTTGTCAGTGGTTTAGGTGAAAGCTGACCCTGATCTAACACAGCCCTGTCTTTCAAAAGTCTTCACTATTAATGGAGAGATTATAAGAAAATAAGCGAATTGCTTCGTGTTATTCTTTCCTATCCAGACTTTGAGACACACACAACCATCTAAGCCGTGGCTTTGTTTGTCTTTCCTTTGACTCTTTGGGGCTTGACAGCCTTTTAATACCGTCACCTCTGTGCTACAGGCTTCTGTGCGTCAACTACTTAACATCTAGGTCTTTGATGTTTAGAAATACTTTAGGATTATTAGACAGACACCCCCAGCATAAAGTGACACCATTTATTTTTTCCATGAAAGAACACATGACCTTACCTTAGAGGGGTTAGGCAGCTAGATGAGGGATGGAAGCCAGGAAGGGACCAAATAGCAGATGAAGATTTCCACAGGGGCTTAAACAGCTGAGAATGAGAATGAGTCCAACAATGTGAAGGCAATCTCTGATCCACTGGAACACTGCTCTGCACCACAGTGAAGGTCATTCTCATTTTACCATAGGAAACCAAATTTCTAATTCCCTCAGTTATTAAGGGCCGATAATGGAGATCTGTCTGCGTCACATAAAGGATATCAAAATAAAATCTGTTCTCTGCTTCTTCCCACGACAATCTTCATCTAATTTTAATGTTCAATGACTGTGGGCACAGAAAATACTCGGCATAAAACCCTAATTAGCTAAAACTTCCCAGTGCTTTAATGCAAACATTTAGAAAACACCATCAAACAGATACATTTCAACATATGGAGCATTTTCAGTGATGTGCACCTGTTACCCCCCGTCCATCGTGACATCAAAGAATGCACTTCTGCTACACTGCCGCCCTTCACAATCAGAGAGAAAAAATCCAGACAAGAATTTCACAGGGTTATCTTTGTCCTCAAGGCCAAAGGAGAGGGAACAATGCCATGACGACACTGTGAGACAAAGGGTGAAGACCAAACTGGGCAGAACAGTGGTGAGTGATCTTAGCTCTCACTTGACAACAGCTGCTATACTTTGTTTCAGCAGCAGTGACTCCAGAAATGCTTTTCACCTTCCTTTCACATGCCTGACCTTTGCTGAAGTTTGCCTTTCTGATTAAACATCTTAGCATGAGCAATGAGGCCAAAACTGTTCAAGAGCTACAATATTTTAGGAGCAAATTAGTCTTAATAATTTTGCTTGTCTACTTTGTTTGGAATTTGGAAAAGGGGCATTGAATTGACAGGTGCTAAGTAGTAAAATCTAAGTTACTGTTTGTAACCACGTTTTGAATGAATTATGAATGATTATTTTTTGTCATAACCCCTGAATCTAAACAGATCATTTGCTTTGTCTTGTATGCAAGTTGTAATCAGGAAAGATTATCAGCTGCTGTAAGCAAACAACCAACACCATGTGACAATAATGACTTTATAGAACGGAGGCTGAAGATTCATCAGACATAGTGAATACATGTGGAATATTCTAGTAAGTAAAACCCAGACAAATATAAATATTAAGATTGTAAATATGACTTGAAGTATTAAATTTCATCAGTATTACAAACAATATATAAAGTTACCCGTTACGAATTAAATGAATAAAATAAGAGTCACTTGATATCAAGCCTGTCCCTGATCCCCACCTCTTGCCCTCCCCTTTCTTTGTCCTGTATTGTTCTCGCCCTGCTTGTCACAAGGTGAACGCAACAAATAGCAGCAGTACAACTTACCCAATTAGGAGAATGCTTTTTTAATGTGTAACCTTTCTCCAAAAATTCAGGCCATATTTGGTGGATAAAGAACCTTTATTAAAGGACGAAGGGCAGATGTCAGCTGCAGGGCTCATCACTTCACTTGATTGAAGGTTTAGAGTCAAAGGTAAGCAAAACATTTACATATAATTTAATGTTCAGAATAGAAGGTCACCATACTTTACATGTACATCGTATTAGTGTGGGGTAATAAATTATGATGCTGTGTGGTAGTGGTAATTTGCTTTTTCTTCTGGTCTAAACAGCAAGTCCTGACAGATCCTGCTCTTCTTTTTGGAATCCAACCCACCCTAGGTAAAAGCTGTGCTTGGTTTGAGTTGAACAGGAATGACCCTCAGTTAGGACTTACATTTTTATGGTTTAACTAGAAATGTGCAAGTTTTATTGTTAATACTCTAAGTAAGTGGGTGTCTATTCTCATCATGGTTTTTATGGCATAATTCTGTATTGAAATTCAAAGTATTGAAACATGAGTTTTGAATGGTGTAAAGATTGTACGGCAACTTGAGGCAAAGCTGAGATTTTGTAATTTGGCAACGTAAATAAAACTGACTGAAAGTCTTTTGCCTCTGTACATATCAGTTTTTGACTGACACCACACTATTGCAGCAATAAAAAAAATGTCATGAGTGGGTGGGTGGGTGGCATTCTTGGTCTGCAACAACAGTTATGAGAATGGTACGTGTGACACTCATATGAATGTCACAATACAAGACTTGGCAGCAGAACACTGCATTGTAATGACATGATTGCTGTTCTTCTGTTTTGATGTTGTAGCTTATTCCTGCCTCTTTTCGCACTTTACCTGGTAACTGATGGCTAAACGACTGCAGTTCACACCGTCAATAATCGTCAATGAATGATTCTAGCTTGCATTCATTGTTAGAGACTAACGTTCACATTTGTAACAGGTTGAAAAATGGGGGATGCTGCCATGAAAGAGTTTGGGGCGGCGGCTCCTTACCTGAGAAAGTCAGATAAGGAGCGTCTGGAGGCCCAGACTCGCCCATTTGATATGAAGAAAGAGTGCTTCGTTCCTGACCCTGCAATTGAGTACGTTAAAGCAACCATCACTAGCCGCGATGGCGACAAAGTCACTGCTGACACTGAATTTGGAAAGGTGAATAAAGTTCAGGTTCTGCATAAGTGTGTACATGGCCCCTAGACTGTGGAACTCTCTCCCCCAAGAATTAAGAACTGTGGACTCAGTAGCTGTTTTTAAAAAACAACTCAAAACTTACCTTTTTAAAACTGCTTTTGGTTAATTTTTTGCCTGTTTTATTTTCTCTTTTTAAATCTTTTTATGACTTGTAATCTTATGTGCAGCACTTTGTGATTCTGTCTTGAAAGGTGCTATATAAAAAAAAAAATATTTATTTATTTATTTATGTGTCTACAAAGGACTTTGGTGCTGTTTTGGTTAACATGGCTGTTAACTGTTTGATTTCCATTTGCAGACCGTCACAGTGAAGGATTGCGATGTGCACCCTCAGAACCCGCCAAAGTTCGATAAAATTGAAGACATGGCGATGTTCACCTTCCTCC